TTATTATATGGTAGAAGATAATTCCAAATTATTGTCACTACAGTTCAGAAAAATCTTAACTATTGAGAATCTGTCAAGTTTACAGTGTTACATACAAGTTTTCCAAAATTCTAATTTATACTTAAGAGCTCATATTTTATCATTAGCAGTGGATAGTGTAAATTGTTTTCTTTGAAGCCATGGGCTCACTTAGCTCATTCTTGTGAAAATATCTGCTAGACACTGAGTTTGTATAACCATAATTTGTCAGTCATTCTTTCAAGTAAAATGATGTTTGTGAAAAAGGTGGCTGGGTCAGTTCCCAACTCAATTTCACAAGTACTTTTTCCTTGAGACATTCATTGTACTATAGGACTATAGTTGGAATGCTACAGAAGGGTTTTATGTGTAATTCTCAATTCATCACACAATTAGAAAAGGCCATATTTAATAAAAGTAACCATTTTTTATTTCATTAAATTGGTTTTTTAATTTCTTGTTTCTTTCTTGTATTTTTTTAAAAGGTTTATTTATTTGAAAGGTAAAGAGAGAGTGATTTTCCATCTGTTGGTTCATTCCTCAAATGACCACAACAGCCAGGTCTGGGCCAGGCTGAAGCCGGGAGCTGGGAATACTTTCCTGGTGATCAGCAGGGGCCCATGTACTTGGGCCATACATATTCCACTGCCTTCTCAGGCGCATTAGCAGGAAGCTGGATTGGAAGTGGTGCAGCCAAGGCTAGAAGTGGAACTCTGATAGGGGTTGCTGATATCTGTTATTGCAAGTAAGAGGCTTAACCTGCCATGCCACAAAACACTGGCTCCCACTAAAGATATTTTTAAGTAAGCTGGCTTTTTTTTTTTTTTAAATAGCAAATACTATGACTACTCTTTCAGTTTGGTTCATGTGCCTTATTAATTCATTCTAAAGTACCAGCAGTTTTACAAACCATATTATATCAGTGCAGTTGTTGACACAATAAGAAAAATATCTGTAGTAGTGTTGGGAAAATAGCTCCAATCTTGTGGACTCTTTTTTTTTTCCCCCAAAGAAACCATTTATTTAATGAGTACAGATTTCATAAGTACAACTTAAGGAATCCAGCAGCTCTTCCCAATGGATCTGCCCTCCCACCCCGTATCTTTTTTTTTTTTTTTTTGACAGGCAGAGTGGACAGTAAGAGAGAGAGAAAAGTCTTCCTTTTTGCCGTTTGTTTACCCTCCAATGGCCGCCGCGGCCGGCGCGCTTCGTCCAGTGCACCGCGCTGATCCGAAGGCAGGAGCCAGGTGCTTATCCTGTCTCCCATGGGGTGCAAGGCCCAAGTATTTGGGCCATCCTCCATTGCACTCCCTGGCCACAGCAGAGAGGTGGCCTGGAAGAGGGGCAAGCGGGACTAGAACCCAGTGTGCTGGCGCCGCAAGGCGGAAGATTAGCCTAGTGAGCCACGACACTGGCCCCTCGTACCCCCCAGCCTCCCCCTCTCCCTCCCATTCCTAGTCCCATTCTCCATCAAGAAGAAAATAAAAACTTCCTTGACAATCAAGACAAGGGCTTTTCAAGTCATTGTTTCTCAAAGTGTCAATTTTACTAATACAGGTTTCCTTTTAGGTGCTCTATTAGTTACCATAGGTCAGGGAGAACATATGGTATTTGTCCCTTTGGGACTGGCTTATTTCACTAAGTATGATGTTTTCTAGATTCATTCATTTTGTTGCAAATGACTGGATTTCTTTTTTTAACTGCTGTGTAGTATTCCTTAGAGTACTTATCCCATAATTTTCTTTATCCAGTCTTCACTTGACGGACATTTAGGTTAATACTATGCCTGTGGACTATTGAAAAGGTCTCAAGGCCCGCACAGGCATCTGTGGAACACACTTTGAGAACTGCTATCTTATTATTGCTACAAATGACTGTCACTTTGAGCTAATACAGGCTATTAAAAGTCTTAAGAGGATAAGGGTTAAAAGAACATGGGCTATGAAGTCAGTTAGATCTGGGTTTTGAACCTTTTTCTACTTAATAGTAATGGAAATAAACTTGATCTAAGCTATTAACATGCTTAATGCCTAGCATGTAGTACATGCAGAATAAATAAATGGAGGCTCGTACTGTTTCTACCTACTGACTTCATCAAGCTTTTTTTTTTTTTTTTTTTTTTTTGACAGGCAGAGTGGACAGTGAGAGAGAGAGACAGAAAGGTCTTCCTTTGCCGTTGGTTCACCCTCCAATGGCCGCCGCGGCCGGCGCGCTGCGGCCGGCGCACCGCACCGATCCGATGGCAGGAGCCAGGAGCCAGGTGCTTTTCCTGGTCTCCCATGGGGTGCAGGGCCCAAGCACCTGGGCCATCCTCCACTGCACTCCCGGGCCACAGCAGAGGGCTGGCCTGGAAGAGGGGCAACCGGGACAGAATCCGGCGCCCCAACCGGGACTAGAACCCGGTGTGCCGGCGCCGCTAGGCGGAGGATTAGCCTAGTGAGCCGCGGCGCCGGCCGACTTCATCAAGCATTATATCCAAATAAATCCCTATGTTCCATGTCGAGATAACCTTTTGCTTGTGATTTCTTGTGCCACTGTGTGCTGTAATCCAAATCACCATGAGCTGGATTGGGCTTCCTTTTTCCTTCTTTAAAACACAAATGCAAGCCTACTTTCTCCTACTTGCTTTGACCATATTGTCACAAAATTACTAGTTTCTGACTTCTGTTTCTCTAATCCTGTGTTGTGAATTGGTTAGTAAATATTTTATGTAGGTCTTGCAATCAGAAAGTAGCTCTAATTTGTACTGTTTGGTACCCATAATAAAAATGATGGAAGGTCACATTTACTGGTAATACAAGATTAACTTTTTTTAAAAGATTTATTTATTTATTTGAAAGAGTTACACATTGAGAGGAGAGGCAGAGAGAGGTCTTCCATCTGATGGTTCACTCCCCAATTGGTCACGACGGCCAGAGCTGTGCCGATCCGAAGCCAGGAGCCAGGAGCTTCTTCCTGGTCTCCCACATGGGTGCAGGGGCCCAAGGACTTGCTTTCCCAGGCCATAGCAGAGAGCTGGACAGGAAGTGGAGCAGCCAGGACTTGAACCGGCGCCCATATGGGATGGCGGCGCTTCAAGCCAGGGCGTTAACCCACTGCGCCACAGTGCCAGCCCCAAGATGAACTTGATTATTAAAAATGCTAAACGTTTTACTGTTTATGCACTGTAACAACAAAATTTGGTGACCTGCCCCTTTTATCCTTAATTTAATTTACATTGAAACTAATGTAAATTACATTTTAGTTGTATTTTGGCAAACCTGAAATTCCATTAAATTTTTATTAACAATAGTCAAAATACTATGATAATATGGTATTTCCTTGTTTGGTGATGAGTATATTTTCTAATATTAGAAAGTAAAAATTACATTCTATCTATCTCAATGTCCTGATCTTTAATAAAACTTTAAGTTGCCCAGTATCTACTTTTGTTCTTAAAGATTTTATTTTATTTATTTGAAAGCATTACAGAGAGGGAGAGAGATCCTCTGATTCACTCCCCAAATGGCCACAACAGCTGGAGGTAAGCCGATCTGAAGCCAGAGCCAGGAACTTCTTCCAGGTCTCCCACACAAGTGAGGGGCCCAAGACTTTGACCATCCTCTGCTGCTTCCCCAGGCACATTAGCAGGGAGCTGGATCAGAAGTGGGGCAGCTGGGACTCGAACCAGCACCCATACGGAATGCTGGTGCTTCAGGCCAGGTTTTAATCTGCTGCGCCACCATGCCAGCCCCTCAGTATCTACTCTTAATATATATTTTAGTTTTTATGTTATATCTTTGTGGTTCTTTGAAGTAGACATTACATAAATTCATTTGGTTTAATAGCTGTGTGCCAAAAGCCGTACATTAATTAGTGTCTATACTTGAATTGTATTAAATGGCCAAATCCTGTCTGCTTCCCATACAGCCTCCTTCACCCTGATTCTCTTCAGCCACTCTCAACTGTTACTGGCCCAGAAAAACAAGCAAAATAATAGTCTTCAAGATTTTTCAAATAATTGTTATGTTATTCTTGGTCTTTGGTAGAAATCCAACTTTATTTTCTGGCTCTCTTTAGAGTAATGACTATAAGGATACTTTTTCAGTAAGATTGATATTGAACGTTCTGGTAGTTTTAGGCAGAAAGAGCTAATCTATATGTAGTTACGTTGTAGGGAATAGAAACCTAGCTCAAATTAGTTTAAACATAATAGGAAAATCTAGGTATCATAACCAGGTAAGTATAGAGTACAGTTGCCATTATTTATGATAAGAGTGCTAGTCAAGAGTCTAAGGATAGGTGCCGGTGCCATGGGTCACTTGGTTAATCCTCCGGCTGTGGCGCCGGCATCCCATATGGGCGCCAGGTTCTAGTCCTGGTTGCTCCTCTTCCAGTCCAGCTCTCTGCTGTGGCCTGGGAAGGCAGTGGAGGATGGCCCAAGTGCTTGGGCCCATGCACCCTCATGGGAGACCAGGAGGAAGCCCCTGGCTCCTGACTTCGGATCAGCATAGCTCCCGCTGTCACGGCCATTTTGGGAGTGAACCAATGGAAGGAAGACCTTTCTCTCTCTCTCTCCCTCTCTCTCTCTCTCACTGTCAAACTCTGTCAAATTAAAAAAAAAAAAAAAAATCTAGGGATAGGTTTGATTGGCCAGACTTTGATTGCATATTTATACCTGAACTAACATTTGTGGGTAGGGAAATGTGGTTCTGTGATTGGCCAGTAAAAGGTTATGTGGCACATGTCTAGTTTTGTGTGTGTTGTAGATGAGGAGGGATATTGACACATATGCCACGAGAGTGAGGGATGTTAGAATAAAAAAGGAAGAAAAGGCCTATTACAGAGTACCAATATCCAATGTAAATATAGATGGTTGGGTCATTATTTCTCCTTTGAATAAGATGCACATTATATTATAAGCATATATAGAATTGGGTTCATGGTTGATAAATAATTTTGACTTACATCAAAATATTTATTCACGTTTTTCCTGTTAATGTCTTCAGTATTTTCCCTATTCTCTTTTCTTTCCCAGCTTTAAAACAGTAACATTACTACCTTTAATTGATGAAATCAATAAATTTAAAATATGATAAATGTCATTAGGGTAATATAGATCAAAACCACAAGATACCATTTCACATCCACTAGGATGGCAATAAACAAAAAGACAGTGACAAATGTTGGTAAGGATGGGCATGAAAAACACTGCAGCCACTTTGGAATGCTGTTTGGCATTCAAACAGTATAACAGTTAACATGTGACCCACTAGTTTACTCCTAGATATCAACCCAGGAGGATTGAAAGCATGTATCTGTACAAAAACATATATGAAAATGTTTGTAGCAGCATTATCCATAATAGCCAAAACAAGCAACTCAAATATCTATGAAGTAACATGGATAAACAAAATATGGTATATACATCCAGTGGACTATTTTGCTATAAAAAGAAATGAAGTGCTGATATATGCAACTATATAGATTAAACTTAAAAACATTGCATTGCCTGAATTAAGCCAGTTATAGAAGATCACAAATTCTGTAATTGCATTTATAAATAAAAGGATACCACAAAAGAAAAAACTGTTTCCTACTATCTACTCTGATATACTCAATACAATACTTAAAAAAAAATTAATGTGTTTGAATGGCACAATGTTAGAGATAGAGATCTTTAAATGTTGATTTACTCCCCAATTGGTCAAAATGGCCAGGCCAGGAGCCAGAGCTCCCATGTTGGTGGCAGGAGCCCAAGCATTTAACCCATCTACTACTGCTTTCTCAGATGCATTAGCAGGGTATGAAACTGCTCTTTGTGAAGATGAAAGTCATCTGGACTTAGTAGTGATCAATGCACAACTTTGTGAATTTACTAAACATTGCAAATTATATACTTTTTTAAAAAAGATTATGTATTTAAAAGGCAGAGTTACAAAAAGGCAGAGGCAAAGACAGAAGGAGGTCTTCCATCCACTGGTTCACTCCCCAAATGGCTGCAGTGGCCGGAGCTGGACTGATCCGAAGGCAGGAGCCAGGAGTTTCTTCAGAGACTCCCAAGTGGGTGCAGGGCCCAAGAGCTTGGACCATCTTCTGTTGCTTTCTCAGAGCATAACAGAGAGCTAGATAGGAAGTGGAGCAGCCAAGACTCGAAATGGCACCCATTTGGGATGCTGAGTTCATGGAAAATGTGTAGTAAGAAAAATTGGATTTCAGGGCCGGCATTGTGGCATAATGCATTAAGGCATTGTCTGTGATGCCAGCATCCCATATGGGTACTGGTTGGAGCTCCTGGGAAAGGAATGGAGAATGGCCCAAGTTCTTGGGCCCCTGTACCAATATGGGAGATCCAAGTGAAACTCCTGGTTTTGTCCTGGCCCAGCCTCAGACTTTGCAGCCTTTTGGGGAGTGATCCAGTGGATAGAACATCTGTTTCTCTTCTTTCTTTGTAACTCTACCTTTCAGATAAATAAATCTTTAAAACAAAACAAAACAAAAAACTGGATTTCTAAAATTTTTGTACTAAAATATACTTTTAGTTCTATTTTCCGTAAACATTTTGCATCTCAATAAGTTGTTAGGTTGAAAACAACAGCAAAGAAAACTTATGTACAAGAAATGATTTGTTGTGGGTGGGATATGACAACTTTCTGCTATCTGAGAGTTACAGTTGAACTTTCAAGAGGTCGTTTTCGCTGACTTTCCCTTCTACCGTTTCCTCAAGTGAATTCGTTTATTCAACAGATAGTTATTCATCATCTGTTTCTGGAGGCTCTGTTGTAAGCTGTGAGGATGGAGAATATGAATAACACAGGCAAAGTTCCTATTCTCATGATACTGACTTTCCAGCTTGTCAGGATCTCTCAGGTACCTGGCCTTAAGCTGACCCTGTGTACAATTGAAGAGAAAGGAAATCCAAAATGTTTTGTATCTGATAACTATTTCTTGAGATTTGTGGAAAACCTTGATTTTTAGAATGGAAAGAGCTAGGATTGTATCTTATTAGCTATTTGCCATTAGGAAAGTTTAATAATTTTTTCAGCCACAATTTCTACTTCTGTAAAAATTAAAATCCCATCTTAATAGGTACTTGTTTTGAATTTGGTTTTTCAGACAACAAAGAACCCACCCTTAGTCTTAGGAAAGTTGAGGGACGGGTCCTCACATTACCCAACATAGTTGAGGTAGGATTGTTTCAGTTGTAGGAATTCATGAATCTTCACCTATTGCTCCACCAGCCATTAAGTCAGCTACTAAGTTTGATTTTTGCTAGCTACTGAGTCTTTAATTTTGAATGTAATTCTGTATTAAATTACTAAGAATCTGAGCTAATAAGCACTGCCCAAACTGAAACAGATTTGTTTTTTTTAACTGCTGGCCTGCTTATGGATTGGCTTTTCCTGAGTAGGTTCCTTCCTTAATTCCCATCCCCAGTCATCTGTAGTGTGGGGGAAGAGAGGATGTCACATGGTAAGGAATAGCCTTTGTCTACTTCTTGAGGAGCATCCATGGAAAGAGCAGTTTCTTTTAAACAGTGTTGTGAGTGACATTATTTATTTCATATTACTCGCATTTTTTGTTTTCTATTAGCTTTCTTATTGTTATAATCTAGGGCAAGTGATGGTTACCTCATTGTTTCATCTCCAAAGTAGTTAGCTGCTATTGCCCCTCTGATTCATAAAATAATCAATGTGGTTCTTTTAAAAATAAAGTAGATCAAATCAAGTCACTGCCCTCTTGTTTTAGTGGTTTCCTCTGCATTTAACTTGTAAACTCCTTATAAGACTTTTATGACCTTGACATATTTGATACTTGTCTACTCTTATCTCTCTCATTTCACTGTTCTACATATTAGTTTATATTCTGATTCCATTACACATGCTACTCTGTCAGAATGCCTTCCCTAACTACTCATCATCCCCATCGCTTTTCCTTTACCTGCATGATTATTTCTCATCCTTTGAATCTGAGCTTCAATGTCATTTTTTTTTTTTAAAGATTTTATTTATTTGAGAGGTAGAGTTACAGACAATGAGAGGGAGAGACAGAGAGAAAGGTCTTTCTTCCGTTGGTTCACTCTCCCCAAATGGCCACAAAGCCAGAGCTGTGCCAATCTGAAGCCAGGAGCCAGGTGCTTCTTCTGGTCTCCCAGGCTGGTGCAGGGGCCCAAGCTCCCGGGCCATTTCCCATTGCTTCCCCAGGCCACAGCAGAAAGCTGGACCGGAAGAGGAGCAGCTGGGACTAGAACCTGTGCCCATATTGGATGCTGGCACCGCAGGCAAAGGATTAACCTACAGCGCCATGGCACTGGCCCCTCAATGTCATTGTTTTTAAGATATATTTATTTAAAAGGCAGAATTAGAGAAAGTGACAGGAGATCGTCCATTGTCTCTTGACTCCCTAAATGTCTGTAACAGCTGGGTTTGGCCAGACCAAAGGCAGGGGCCCAGGAGCTTCTTCTGGGTGTCCCATGTGGATGCAGGGGTCCAAGCACTTAGGCTGTCCTCTGTTGCTTTCCCAGGAGCATTAATAAGAGGTTGGATCAGAAATGGATCAGCCAGGAGACAAACAGCACCCATAGGGGATGCAGACTCTGCAAGCAACAGCTTAACCTGCTCTGCCATAATGCTGGCCCCCAGTGTCATTTTTTAACAGGCCATTCCTGAAAACCAAGCTAGAAATTAAACCTCCCTGTTGTCATTTTCCTAAAAAATATGGGTGATAATTTGTATAAATTACTCGGTGTTTATTTTCTCTATCAGAGTGTAAACTCCCTCTAGATTATATACTCCCTCTAGATTATGTACTTGTCTGTTCTGTACACTATTCTAATTCTCATCACAGGGCCTGGCATACAGTTGCTACTGAAATAAATATTTGAGATAAGTGTGTATACATATATATATATAATTTTTTTTGATAGGCAGAGTGGACAGTGAGAGAGAGAGAGAGAGAAAGGTCTTCCTTTTGCCGCTGGTTCACCCTCCAATGGCTGCGCGGCTGGTGCACTGCGCTGATCCAAAGCCAGGAGCCAGGTGCTTCTCCTGGTCTCCCATGCAGGTGCAGGGCCCAAGAACCTGGGCCATCCTCCACTGCACTCCCGGGCCACAGCAGAGAGCTGGACTGGAAGAGGGACAACTGGAACAGAATCTGGCACCCTGACTGGGACTAGAACCCGGGGTGTTGGTGCCACAGGTGGAGGATTAGCCTACTGAGCCGTGGCGCTGGCCTGAGATAAGTGTATTTTTTTTTTTTTTTTTTTGACAGGCAGAGTGGACAGTGAGAGAGAAAGACAGAGAGAAAGGTCTTCCTTTGCCATTGGTTCACCCTCCAATGGCCGCCGCGGCCGGCGCGCTGCGGCCGGCACACCGCGCTGATCCGATGGCAGGAGCCAGGAGCCTGGTGCTTTTCCTGGTCTCCCATGGGGTGCAGGGCCCAAGCACCTGGGCCATCCTCCACTGCACTCCCTGGCCACAGCAGAGAGCTGGCCTGGAAGAGGGGCAACCGGGACAGAATCCGGCGCCCCAACCGGGACTAGAACCCGGTGTGCCGGCGCGCGCCGCAAGGCGGAGGATTAGCCTAGTGAGCCGCGGCGCCGGCCGATAAGTGTATATTTTTAAAATCAAAGAAATCAGAAATGTACTCTGATCAGAATTAATGATTAAATCAGTTTTGAGGTTTGTTTATTCTCTCATTAGGAGTAGTGAGAGGTAATTATACTTTTTTTGGAAAAATAATCATCTGCATTCTCACTACTACTAATTTTTTGGCATGTTTCTTTTATCTTGTGAACACTGTTTCAGATATTCTTGAAATTAAACTGGATTCTTTTCTCTTTTTTTAAAGATTTATTTATTTGAAATAATTAGAGAGAGAAAGAAGTCTTCCATCCGATGATTCACTCCCCAGTTGACCACATGGCCAGAACTGCGCCAGTCGGAAGCCAGGAGCCAGGAGCTGCTTCTGGGTCTCCCATGTGGGTGCAGGGGCCCAAGGACTTGGGCCATCTTCTACTGCTTTCCCAGGCCATAGCAGAGAGCTGAATCAGAAGTGGATATGAAGCCAGTGCCGTGGCTCACTAGGTTAATCCTCCACCTTGCGGCACTAGCACACTGGGTTCTAGTCCCGGTCGGGGCGCCGGATTCTGTCCCGGTTGCCCCTCTTCCAGCCAGCTCTCTGCTGTGGCCCGGGAAGGCAGTGGAGGATGGCCCAGGTTCTTGGGCCCTGCACCCGCATGGGAGACCAGGAGGAAGCCCCTGGCTCCTGGCTTCGGATCAGCGCAGTGCACCAGCCGCAGCAGCCATTGGAGGGTGAACCAGCGGCAAAAGGAAGACCTTTCTCTCTGTCTCTCTCTCTCACTGTCCACTCTGCCTATCAAAAAAAAATTATATATATATATACACACACATCTCAAATATTTATTTCAGTAGCAACTGTATGCCAGACCGCGGCTCAGTAGGCTAATCCTCCACCTGTGGCACCAGCACCCCGGGTTCTAGTCCCAGTCAGGGTGCCAGATTCTATTCCAGTTGTCCCTCTTCCAGTCCAGCTCTCTGCTGTGGCCCGGGAGTGCAGTGGAGGATGGCCCAGGTTCTTGGGCCCTGCACCTGCATGGGAGACCAGGAAAAGCACCTGGCTCCTGGCTTTGGATCAGCGCAGTGCACCAGCCGCGGCAGCCATGGGAGGGTGAACCAGCGGCAAAAGGAAGACCTTTCTCTCTCTCTCTCTCACTGTCCACTCTGCCTTCCAGGCCAGCTTTCTCGTACCTGTGCCCATATGGGATGCCAGCACCACAGCCCAGTCTACTACACCACAGCCCAACAAAGATAACAAAATACACATTGAGTAAAGAAAGTCTCTTCAGCAAATAATTCAGGGAAAATTTGATGTTCATTTGCAAAGAGTGAAATTGGACCCTTGTCTTACAGTGTACTCAAAAAATAAGCTAAAAATGGATAAAGGACATAAAAGACCTGAAACTATATAGTTTCATAGCATTATTCTTAGCAGTGAGTTCTTGGATTTGACATCAGAAGAGAGACTATAAAATAAAAGTAGACATGTGAGAATACATCAAACTCAGAAAGCTTCTGTGTGGCAAAATAATAAAAGAAAGGCACCCTTTGGAAATATTTGCAAATGATAAATGTAGTAAGGGGTTAGTATCCAGAATATATTTTTGAGACAGCTTCCATCCTCTTGTTCAAATCCCCCACCACCCTTTCCCCAAATACCTGCAGTGGTTGGGACTGTCCTGGCCAAAGCCTGGAGCTGAGAAGTCAGTCCAGGTCTCCTACATGGTGGCAAGGACCCAACTACTTGAGCTGTTATCTGCTGCCTTTGCAGGGTCTGCATTAGTAGTAAACTGGAGTTGGGAACCAAGGCCTGTCTCGGAACTCAAGTACTGTGATATGGAACATTGCTATCTTAACTGCTAAGGCAAACACCCAGTGCCAGAAATGTTTTATTGAATTTTAAGGGTTTATCTGTTAAGGAGTCAATATCCAAAATTTCGTTCTTTTTTCCTAACAAAAGGTAAACTCAGCAACAGCAGAAAAACACAATCCAGTTTTTAAATGGGTAAAAGATTTGAGTAGACGTTTCTCCAAGAAAGATAACACAGATAGCCAAACAAACACATGAAAAGATGCTTGATATCAGTAATTGTTAGGAAAATGCAGATCAAAACCATTAGGACAACTACTGTAAAAACAACAAAAATAGAAACTGGCATGTGCTGGTGAAGATGGAAAGAAATTGAAAGCGTTAAGGCACTGTTGGTGAGAATGTCAATATAGAATCATGATCCAGAAAGTCCTGTTCAGTATACCCAAATATTTATCCATCTGAAAGAATTACACAGAGAA